AGGAGTTTCTCTTCATCAGGTTGGTTAACGGGGCTGCCAACACTCCATAGTTCTGTACAAATTTGCGGTAGTAACCCGTTAAACCGAGGAACCTGTGTAGGGCCTTGGCGGATTGAGGTTTGGGCCATTCTGTTATAGCCTGAATCTTGGAACTATCAACTGTTACACCCTGCCCATGGATGATGTGGCCGAGGTAAAGAACCTGTCGTTCCCCGAAGGAGCACTTGGACCGTTTCAGGAATAAGCTGTGTTGGTGTAGGAGTACGAAAACGGTCCTCAGATGGTGGACTTGCTCTACCCATGATTTGCTGTAAATGAGGATATCATCAAAGAAAACTAAAACAAATTTGCGCAGATGGGGCTGGAATACCTCGTTCATTAGTGMCTRAAATGTAGATGGTGCATTGGAGAGTCCGAATGGCATGACTAAAAATTCGAAGTGGCCACGGTGGGTGCGAAAAGCAATCTTCTTCACGTCACCGGGAGCCATGCGAACTTGGAAATATCCGGACCTGAGGTCCAACTTAGAGAAATACTGGGCACCATGCTACTCGTCCAGCAGTTCGTCCACAACGGGAATAGGGAACTTATCTTTGATCGTTCGGTCATTGAGTTCTCTACAGTCAACACAGAACCTCCATGTTCCATCCTGCTTCGCCACCAAYAGAACCGGCGAAGAGAAGGRGGAGTGACTTTTGCGTATGATCCCTTGGTTCAGCATCGCTGTACATTGTTTTTCTATCTCATCCTTCTATAAGTGAGGATAGCGATAAGGCCTGACAACGACTGGTGCTGAACCCGCCACCAAAGGGATACGATGGTCGCAAGCTCGGGAAGGGGGAAGGCCCTTCGGTTCCTGGAACAGATCTGAAAACTCGGTGAGAAGTTTTTCCATGGCTGCCAGTTCTGTCTGGAGTGCATGAACCTGCAGTGTCTTTTCTTTAACCCTGCAACCGTGCCATGAAACTTGCTTGCCATTCAGGTGGAAGGTCATGGTGAGTGCGCTGAAGTCCCACAAAATC